CCCCCGCCGCAGCCCCCAGGACTCCGCACCCCGCGCCACCGCCCAGCTCGCAGTTCCGCGCCACCGCGGCCATTCTCACCTGGCGGCGCCGCCCGCCCACCGCCCGGACCACAGCCCCTGAGCCGCCGACAGCCACAGTGGCCGCGACAACGGTGGGGGACACTGCTGAGTCCAAGAGCGTGCAGCCTGGCCATCGGACCTACTTATTTGCCTTGCTGATTGTCTATTTTTTTAAGAGTTTACAACTTTTCTAAGCATTTTTGTATACAAAGGAACTTTTTTAAAAAGACATCTCCGGTTTATATTGAATCCAAAGAAGAAGGATCTCGGGGAATTTGGGGTTTTTGGTTTGGGGTTTCGTTTCTAAAGTTGTTTTTAATATTCGTTGACTTTGGGGTTCGGGTACCCCTCTCTCTTCTTCGGACTCCGGAGGACCTTCTGGGCCCCCACATTAATGAGGTAGGTAAGATGCTGGGCTAGGGGAACATTAAAGGGTGAGAATTGGTGGGAAACCTCGGAGCAGTGGCCAGGGTAGCCCCTGACTCCTGGTCCCTGTGCGCCCCGCCCGGCCCGCAGGCAGCCACCTGGCGAGTCTGACATGGCTGTCAGCGACGCTCTGCTCCCGTCCTTCTCCACGTTCGCGTCCGGCCCGGCGGGAAGGGAGAAGACACTGCGTCCAGCAGGTGCCCCAAATAACGTGAGTGTCGCGCTAGTGCCCGGTAGATTTCTGGGGATGTTATGGGGTGGATGGGCAGAATCCAGGGGTCAACCAGGAGCCCCTGGCTAGGACAAGAATTGCCCTCCGTTGAGACTCTACAGCCTTCCCAGGGTGGCTCCTCGGCCCTTGAGTCGGCCTTAAGTGCGTGTGGTCCCGGCACTACGGTACCGCCAGGGGCGCACAGCGGTTCCTCGCTGGTCTCCCGGCGTCCGGGCCGTGGGGTGGGTGCACGAGGACCACTGGTGGCCAAGTCTCGAGACCCTCTGGGCACGAGTGAGCTTAGCGCGTAGGAGACCGGGTGGCTACGGTGCATGGGAGAAAGCCACAATGTCCTAGTGTCCCAATTCCGTGGGCGGCTGGAGCGTCTCGAGGATCTGGCTGGGAAGAAAATTGGGCTGGCGGAGGTGCCGCACTAGTTTGAGGTGGAACCGACGGGCCGCCTCTTACCCGGGTGCTGGCTGAGATTGAAGCGCTGGCACCTGGAGTCCCTGGAGCTGCCTTCCTGCCCTGTCCAGTTCCTATGGCAGGGGTCTGGTGTGCTTCATCCAAGTCGATACTAGGAGTGGCAGCAAGGGGCTACAACTAACCACTTCTCTCTCCCTCTCTGTCCTTGGCAGCGCTGGCGAGAGGAGCTCTCTCACATGAAGCGACTTCCTCCACTTCCCGGCCGCCCATACGACCTGGCGGCCACCGTGGCCACAGACCTGGAGAGTGGTGGAGCTGGCGCAGCTTGCAGCAGTAACAACCCGGCCCTCCTACCCCGGAGGGAGACCGAGGAGTTCAACGATCTCCTGGACCTAGACTTTATCCTCTCCAACTCGCTATCCCACCAGGAATCAGTGGCCGCCACTGTGACCTCCTCGGCCTCAGCTTCATCCTCGTCCTCCCCGGCGAGCAGCGGCCCTGCCAGCGCGCCCTCCACCTGCAGCTTCAACTATCCGATCCGGGCTGGAGGTGACCCGGGCGTGGCTGCCGGCAACACAGGTGGAGGGCTCCTCTACCCCCGAGAGTCTGCGCCACCTCCCACGGCCCCCTTCAACCTGGCGGACATCAATGACGTGAGCCCCTCGGGCGGCTTCGTGGCCGAGCTCCTGCGGCCGGAGTTGGACCCAGTGTACATTCCGCCACAGCAGCCTCAGCCGCCAGGTGGCGGACTGATGGGCAAGTTTGTGCTGAAGGCTTCGCTGAGCACGCCTGGCAGCGAGTACAGCAGCCCGTCGGTCATCAGTGTTAGCAAAGGCAGCCCGGACGGCAGCCACCCTGTGGTGGTGGCGCCCTACAGCGGTGGCCCGCCGCGCATGTGCCCCAAGATTAAGCAAGAATCGGTCTCCTCCTGCACAGTCGGCCGGTCCCTAGAGACCCATTTGGGCGCTGGACCTCAGCTCAGCAACGGGCACCGGCCCAGCACACACGACTTCCCCCTGGGGCGGCAGCTCCCCACCAGGACTACCCCTACCATGAGTCCCGAGGAACTGCTGAACAGCAGGGACTGTCACCCTGGCCTGCCTCTTCCGCCAGGATTCCATCCCCATCCGGGGCCCAACTACCCTCCTTTCCTGCCAGACCAGATGCCGTCTCAAGTCTCATCTCTCCATTACCAAGGTCAGTGGGGGAAGGGATTGGTAGAGCTGCTGCTGGGGAGTTTTGCCTATGGGATGGGGGGAAGTTCTCGGAGACTCCTGAATGAAAGTTGACCCCCCACTTTCTTTACCTAGAGCTCATGCCACCGGGTTCCTGCCTGCCAGAGGAGCCCAAACCAAAGAGGGGAAGAAGGTCGTGGCCCCGGAAAAGAACTGCCACCCACACTTGTGACTATGCAGGCTGTGGCAAAACCTATACTAAGAGTTCTCATCTCAAGGCACACCTTCGAACTCACACAGGTAAGGGGACCAGCGCTGTGGAGGAGGGTTGGTGTCTGTCTGCTCATAGGCTGGCTGTGGATTCCTTAGGGCTTTCTTAGGTGCTGGGGTGTATCTCTTCTCCATCTCCCGGATCACAGAGAAGGGCAGCAAACAGGCGCCTGTGTTTTTGCCCAGAAGCCTTTTGCTTGATGGATGCTATCTGCTGCCTGAATGTGCAGTTTCTCACCCGGCCTTTAAAAGATAGGGAGTTTCCTGTGTATGCCTGCCCCTCCTAGCTTGCTAATCGAGAAATTGTACTTTGCAATGCAAAACTATGGTATTTTTTTTTAAAGTTTTAAATGTTGTAGATTATTTTCATGGTTGTTCCCTCCTCCATAGTTCTATTCTGGTCTTTTAAAAAAATTATGTTGGATTTACATTGCACGAATTTAATGGTTGTGATTGCTAGGATTCTGGTTTATAACATGATACAAGCTGAGTATGGTTTAAAGTTGTCCCTGCAAGCTGGGTGTGGTGTCACTCAATTTTTGTAGTTAGAAAGACCAAAGAGACTTGAGTTGAAAGGATCAGTTAGTTGATCTCCAGGCCAGTCTGGTCAAGAACCCCCAGTCTTAGAGTCTTCTAGATGTGTTTATTAAAACAACTGGAATGACACTACAGAAGAAATTAGCCACTAGTGGTGTTTTGGGCCCAGCGTGATTGGGTGGGATGCTTTTGGTTTGGGCAGAGATAACTCCCAATGATTTCCCAGTCCATTTCCAACACTGGCTAGGTTCAAAAGAATGAAAACTATTTGCATGTTGTTGTTGCTGCTGCTGCTAAGTAGTATTTATGAGTTTAAGCACATACATGTTGTTTCTATTTATCATCTGAATTTCAATATGACCCTTCAGTGTCATAAAGACATTCCTGGATTTTTTTGAGAGAGGGTAGAGTATGCACTGGAAGTTGGCTTTTACTCTTTGACCTCTAGTTTTTAAAGGACTAATTCTTCATTCTAGCAATGGCTTTAGCAGCCCTTTTTCTCCTTTCCCTTTACAGGTGAGAAACCTTACCACTGTGACTGGGACGGCTGTGGGTGGAAATTTGCCCGCTCTGATGAACTGACCAGGCACTACCGCAAACACACAGGGCACCGTCCCTTTCAGTGCCAGAAGTGTGACAGGGCCTTTTCCAGGTCGGACCACCTTGCCTTACATATGAAGAGGCACTTTTAAATCCCACATAGTGGACACGACCCACACTGCCAGGAGAGAGTTCAGTATTTTTTTTTAACCTTTCACACTGTCTTCCCACGAGGGGAGGAGCCCAGCTGGCAAGCGCTACAATCATGGTGAAGTTCCCAGCAAGTCAGTTTGTGAATGGATAATCAGGAGAAAGGAAGAGTCCAAGAGACAAAAAAATCAAAACAAAAGAAAATACCAAAAACAAACAAAAAAAAAGAAAAAAATCACAGAACAGATGGGGTCTGAGACTGGATCTTCTATCATTCCAATATCAAATCCAACTTGAACATGCCTGGACTTACAAAATGCCAAGGGGCGACTGGAAGTTGTGGATATCAGGGTATACATTAGATCAATGTGTTGGGGGAGGGAAGGCCAAAATTCCCTTGAATTGTGTTTCGATGATGCAATATACATGTAAAGATCACCTTGTATGCTCTTTGCCTTCTAAAAAGCCATTATTATGTCAGAGGAAGAGGAAGCAATTCAGGTACAGAACATGTTCTAATAGCCTAAACGATGGTGCTTGTGAGTCGTGGTTCTAAAGGTACCAAATGAGGGAGCCAGAGTTCTCCAACTGCTGCATACTTTGACAAGGAAAATCTATTTTTGTCTTCCGATCTACATTTATGACCTAAGTCAGGTAAATATACCTGGTTTATTCTGTAACATTTTTATGCAGACAGTCTGTTATGCACTGTGGTTTCAGATGTGCAATAATTTGTACAATGGTTTTTTCCCAAGTATGCCTTTAAGCAGAACAAATGTGTTTTTCTATATAGTTCCTTGCCTTAATAAATATGTAATATAAATTTAAGCAAACTTCTATTTTGTATATTTGTAAACTACAAAGTAAAAAATGAACATTTTGTGGAGTTTGTATTTTGCATACTCAAGGTGAGAAATAAGTTTTAAATAAACCTATAATATTTTATCTGAACAGAAATCTCTTTGTTTTGATTCCGGCTTGGAAAAGAACTTGCACATTAACAGGGCAGTGGGGGAAGGTTTGTGAGAAGCACACTGTAAAGCCAATTTCACCTTGACAGAGGATGAAAATTTGTTTTTTAAAATTTGTTTTTTAAGCTATGCAGTTTTACATTAAGTAGTGTTGGAGTTGAGAACTACACGGGTGGGAAATTATAAAACATCTGGTTCATGTTTGCTCCATACAAATACCAAAGTATACTTCCTTGCCCAAATGTGCATTTCCAGGTACACATGGCTCAGTTATTCTTTGATTTGCTCAGTTTTATCAGAGAGCACTCAACAGTAAACCTGAACACTCTAGTTTCACAACACACACACACACACACACACACACACACACACACACATAATTACATTTTGTCTTTTAAAGTAAATGAAATAAGTTTTCTCTGGAGGCCTGGCCTCATAGTCCCCACAGAATCGGAGTAACAAAAGAACCTTCCCCAAACAAACAGCCCTAGGAACAGAATGTGGTTCCACAGTGCCCTCCGGAGGATTAAGGGCTTCATTTATGCTTCTCTTGTTATATCTAAAGAGATCCAAAACATACTGTCTACGGAGTATTTTAAAGCTTCCTAGGTCTCTCTGAAGACATGAAAACAAAATCATTCAAACTCCTGGGGCTGAGAGTGTGTAGTTCCGTGGTGGGGTGCACCTGAGCAA